GTCAACAAGATCGCCAACTAAAAAGGGCAACACTTGCAAAAGGCACCACATTTGTGATGCAGTCTGTTTTACTGCATTGTCAGAGGTTCTCAGATTGAGAATAACACTTGGTTTGTTTTTCTCATTTTCATACCCATAGTTAAAACCAGAAATTCTGTGATTCAACAGTTCTAGGGTAAAAAGCTGTTCTTCATAAATGAAATGGCGTAATATTAGTCTAACCTCCAAGGGGGCTACACCCTCAAGGATATCATGCATAATGTCAACGCACGTGTTCTCTGTAACATGAAAATACTGCAGCTTATTTAAACAGGAGTCCTCTTTAATCCCTGTCAAGCTTCGATCATTAAGTCTGACATGCTGCTGATAATTTTCTCTGGTGCGCTTCTCAACTTTGTCTTCATCAAAAACAGTCTGAGCAACTGTTTTGTCAACCATGCAAAAGTGACAAAACTTGTTTGCTGAAAAGCTTTCTACATATCCACATAAGGAATGGATAGCTAAATTGTCTGCAGTCAAAACACAGATTGATCCATATAGTTGATGACTTTGTCCTTGTATCTCCACCTGTAGACCAGTACTTTCAAGGAATCTGATGTCCTCTATCAGTGGTTCCAAAATCTTACCAAACCCATATACCTCTCTGTCCAAAGAATTGAACAGAAGACATAAGTGAATATTTGAAAGAGATGAATTATATTCTGGTGGTAGATTTTTTAAGCCAAAATAAACAGCACCCATCTTGTGAATTTTGGTTTTGGTCCCCAAAGGGTTTGTCGTTTCTAAATCATCAAAATACAACTGTATTTGGAGGGCTTGAGGACATGTTCCAAACAATGAATGAGAAGAAAATTGAGAGCCATCACAATAGTTTTGCATTTTCCCATCGGTTTTCTTCTTATTCTGAACGTAAACTTTTTGCATTTGGTCATTACTAAATAAAAATTGTATAGTTTTAATTACTGATATATATTGACATGTGTCTGCTGCCAACACTTGTTTAATCTGTCCTTGTTTTCTTGCAGTGTCTGCCCTATGACCAAGAAATATTTCTTTTGGCTTCACAAGATCAAATTTCTCTGAAAAGTATTTGTTCATTTTGAAAGGCGTGTCTACGTCTTTAAACACATGTTTAGCATTTTCAAACTCGCTCATCAATGCCTGGACAGACTCACTGTCAAGTGGTACCTGTAAATTATTCAACAATGTAGTTGTTGCATGTTGTAGACTTTCTACAGTTCTTTCTAGCACCTCTTGTGTACAAGTAACACTTCTTGTTACATCCATTAAAGTTGTATTTGATGACGAATACATTTTGGCCATAAAAGTGGCAACACAGTCAGGAGGAACAGCAGTTTTAAATGGAACAGAGTCTGACTCTGGAGTTTCCATAATATTTGATTCCCCTGTCTCAGACATATCTGATGAAATGTGGTCACTGGCTTGAAAGGACACATTGTCCATTGTTGTTGTGGACTGGTGGTCTCTATGAAGATGTTTGGAAAATGAGTTGAAGTTGTGGTATGTCCTTGGGCCGCCATCTTGGCTGCAGATAATTGTCAGGTCCTGTCCATCTGATAATGCATGTACTTCACGTAGATGCCAAATTAGATTCTTTATTTTTGTTGATATTGGTTGTATGCACTTTGGACACGTGTACATTCTCGGGAATTACTGTGCAGCCTGAAGTTTTGAAATAAGTTCTAGTACCTTGGCCAGGGTTCGTACACATTTTTACCAATAAATTTCCATGACTTTTCCATGACTTTTGAGACAATATTCATGACCTAAATGTTCCATTATTTTACAATAAGAATAAAAATCTTTTCAAATTATCATAGCACATGTTAACTAAAATGAATGACTATTAATTCTACTCGTTTGCTTTCTTGTTTTAGTCTGGTACTGGCAAGGTGGCTTTATATACGCACGAGCGCACTTTGGATATGACTGCGCACCGCCTCTGGAGCGCGCGAGTACCGAGTGGCTTAAAAAGACGTGCAAATAAATAATAAAATTTTCTGACGATGCAACAATGACCCGATTAGGCAAGTGACAATTCTGTCAACTGTCCCGAAATGCGAGTGAAAGTCTTGTATCGCAGCGTGCAGCGGCTCTTGTAGCGCAGACAAGATGCGCCGATGTGAAGCCGTTTGAAGAGAAAGTCAAAGAGAGAAGACGCGTACAGCTGAATCACTCACGCTGTTTTCAAATGACTGATTTGATCAGTCTGTGTGGACTGGACTCAGTCTGTAGGTTTGATTATTTACTCATCAAACCTACATGCTATAGGCTATTGAATAAATGTGTGAATATCCATCATTTTAAAGTCAAAAGCTGCGGGAATGAGTAAAACTATGCGCAATCCCGCACCGAAATTCAGGACCTGATTAAACACAATTCTATTATACAGAGTTTTGTGAAATAGATTTCAATGACTTTTCCAAAACTTTCTGGGTTTATTTATTTTTCCAAAACTTTTCCAGGCCTGGAAATTGGTGTTTTAAAATTCCATGACTTTTCCAGGTTTTTCATGACCGTACGAACCCTGCTTGGCTTTCCTGTTGGTCGAAGTGGTCACATCATAGATGTATTCAAAGAAAGTAAACACAGCGCTGAGCTGTGGTGGATAGGCCACATTGCATACCCAGTACAGCTTGAAGAGCTTGTCCACTGCGCATGTCAGGCTCTCACTTGCAGGTATGGTCACTCTGTCGTTTCTCGCGATGATTATGTATTGTCGTGTAGTACTCTTCAGACTGCCAATGCAGATCAGCTGTGGTTGGGTCTTTGATGTCTCGGGGTTGCTGCAGAGGGATGCAATGCTGGTTCCAGCCTTGGAGATGAGGAAAAAAAAAAAAGATATATATTTCGAAAGTTCAGAGAGCAAAAATAAAGAAGTCAAAATTTAAGTTTACTTACTGGTACAAAATCAAGTAGGAATGAAATTGCACATTTAACACTGCAGCGACTCCCAGGTAATGGTGGCAGAAGATGTGTGAGAACAACTAGTGCTGTGTAGCACTTCTCATCTGAAAATTAAATAAGAACAGATAAGAGGTACAATAAATGTGTAGTGTAGGATTAAGTGTATTTTATTTACACATTATTATACACAAGTGATGTGTGTATGTAAAGAAAACACTTACACACACACACACCAGTGTTTCCCCTAGGTTTACAGCGTTGGGGGGGGGCTTCGGGGGACTCCTTTTTTTTCTGGACTCCTTTTTAATGGTTAAATTACATTTTATTCATTAAAAAGCATGTCTAATTAATTAAAATCATGAAACTTAAACAATTTAACATAAATTTATTAAAAGTTTAACAAATATTACATGTTTAGGGCCCTATGAAATGTTTTATTTTTCCAACCTTATGTTTTATTGTAACCAAATTCTGTTTTAGCATGTCTAATTATTTGAAAGCATAAAACAAGTTTCATTTATTCATGAAATGTTTTATTTTTTCCAACCTTATGTTTTGTTACCAAATTCTGTTTTAGCATGTCTAATTATTTGAAAGCATAAAACAAGTTTAATTTATTCTTACAATAGCCTTATGATTTTTTGCTCAGAAATTCTGTGTTGTGTATTTACATTTTGTTTTAAGGCATAAAACATTCATTTAATCTATCTTTTAAGTAATGAAAATTAAACAAATTTTATTTTTTGGAAAATAAAGGTAATTTAATATTATAATTAAAACATTGAAGAAATATTGAAAGCTTATTCCTTAAAAATAAGGTTTTTTTAGTAGTAGTAGTAGGAGCAGCCTGTTATGTACATTCTACTCAGCAATAGTAATATATTTCTGCCAATGCCCTCAAGTTAAACCGAACTTTTATTTTGACGGGTTGCCGTGAATACCATTACATTTCTGTGATGACATGATGTGTATGACATGAGTATCATCAGCTCATCGGTTCTCAAATCGGACGTGTCCGAAAGAAACGGTTCTCGGTTCAGTGTACTGGTGATCCGAAAACCGATGCAACCGGTTCTTGACTCGAGAACGAGAACCGCTCTAACCGGCACGCTGCACACATGTTCAGTATATCATCAGCTGCTCTACTCGTGTCGTGTTCTATTTACTACAAACTCAATTTGTGAATGTGTCATCGTTAACTATAATTACAGTACAGGTATTTCATAAATCATCCCTTATTCCTATTAAACATAGAGTCTTAATTATGGTCCAACTTCCCTGACAACCCCCTTTGGCCTATAACCTAACAGAATCTTCAACTGAACAAAGTACACAGATTAGATACATTCATCTTTTTTTAAAAAGTAAAATAAAATATATTTATATTATCACACTTTCTGATGTTTAACAAAATACTTGGATAACATGCTTTTCGTCCTCTTGAAAAATTACACGCATGCGCAGTATCATCAGCTCATCGGTTCTCAAATCGGACGTGTCCGAAAGAAACGGTTCTCGGTTCAGTGTACTGGTGGTCCGAAAACCGATGCAACCGGTTCTTGACTCGAGAACGAGAACCGCTCCAGCAGTGGGCGTGTACGTTCGTTATCCGGCTCGCTGCACACATGCTGCTCTGCTCGTGTTCATCTTCAGTTCTCTCTTCACAGCAGTTCAGTCAGTGTACTGTTTGAGTAAATTAATTACTCCGGGATATTGGTTTATTTCGACTCGGAGGGAGTGTCAGCCACGTTAAAAAAGTAAATAACTTAAGTAAATTGTGGATTAATGCTACCTGGAGACGCGAACCGTTTCAAACGATTCAGTCCGATTTGGTGAACTGGTTCAACCGGTTCACTAAGAAGAACCGGTTAAATTGAACGATTCGTTCGCGAACCGGTCATCACTACTCAAATGACGGTCAAATGCTCATGAAGTGACTCTCAGAGCTGTTCTGGAGATGTTGTTCATGTATTTATGTCCTGATTAGTGAGACGGCAGACGTTAATATCACCGGAAGCGTCACGAGCATTTCAGTACGAGTACTACAGAAAACCGCTCGTCTGCGCCATTCATTAACACAGAGACACGCAGGACGCAGGACGCTGACCTGCTTCTAGCTTTCGGCGGATATTACGTAGTCTCAATTCCAAAAATCCAGAATGTGATGATGGATCGTAAAAATGCTCCTGAGATTATACAAAAAAATTAATAAATAAAATTCTCAATATATTTTTTTCTTCAGAATATTGACAATAGCGTAAGTGTGAACATACAAGCCATGCGTTAGATTTTAACTTCTAAAATCCCTTATATACATCAAAAAGTCAGATGGAACAAGCCGAAAATGAGTGCATCATGAGACAAAAAGTCCATATGACACCAGTAAAGCAATGCAACAAACATGTTTTTTTCGTTAACACTTTACAATAAGGTTCTATTTGTAAACATCAGTTAAATGCATTAGCTAACATGAAAAGTACTTGTAAAGCATTTATTAATCTTAGTTAACATTCATTTCAACATTAACAAACACCATTTTTGACTTTAATAATGTATTAGTAAATATTTAATGTAGCTGAGTTAACATGAACTAACAAGAGTTGTATTTTTATTAACAAATGTTAACAAAGATTAGTAGATATTGTAACAAATGTATTGCTCATTGTTAGATAATGCATTAAGTAATTGTTAACTAATGAACCTTATTGTAAAGTGTTACCGTTTTTTCAGATAATTTTAGGAATCATTAGATGTTACTTACAAATCCACCTCCTTTTCCTTCAACCTGAACCCTTAAAGGTGGGAACGTAGTGATGATACGCTTTGCTAAAGCGAGCTTTTCAGCACTTGATGGGTAACTGGGGAGACAGAGAAGAGCAAAATCCACAGACATTGAACTACAACCAGGCCTGAAATTTAACTGCAATATCAAAGCTGCCATCAGAAAGGGCAAAGACCACTGAGTTAAATTCTGTGTTGTCCATTATCTTTGGAGGAATTTAAAATTTTATCATTTTACTTACAATCCATGTTTCTCCACCAGGTCACTGATGCATACTTTGACAAGGAGCCTCCTTGACTCTATTTGAATTGTTCCTGTTTTTTTGTGTTCTTCAAGTACCCCTGGTGCTTTGCTTTGGACTAGAGAGAGCAGGCCTCCCTGTTCGTTTTGCACTGGAACATGCTACATTAATAGATATAGAGAGACATAACGGATGTGAATTTTACCTTTGAAATACTATGATGTACAAAAATAAATGCCTTCCTCCAGTACATCAGTGGTTTCATTTTGTGCCATTTTAATTTAGAGTGAGCAACTGATCACATTTGAAAGACAATCTGTTACCTGTGCGATGGAGTTTGAAAATTCATTACCATTTAATGTATTGTTACCTGGCACATGTGACAATATACAGTGATGTGGATTTCAGGTAATATTGTTCAGCCCTAACATATCACTAGAATAGACTATTATGCATATACAGTAAAAAAACAAAATACCTCGATTTGATGGGTCTCTTGAGAATGTGTGTGGTGTAGGGTTTCTGTGGCTGACATGTAGATCTGAAATCTGTCAAGGTTCTTAATTTCTACATTCCTATCAACATCTACAAATTCTTGGAAATCAGCATTGTATTTCTGAACTTTGTCAAATGCAAAACCTTGTTCTGATGTGGTTTGATTTATGAGATGCTCACTACTGTGAACAGTATAAATCTTCTTTGAGTACTCTTTACCATTTTTAAAAACTGTGGCAAGAACTTTGACAGATTCTGGTTTATGGTCTGGGTCCTGGAGAAAAAAAAGAAGAAGAAGAAGAGAGAAATGCTATTTACACTGCATACTGGAATGCATTTTAAAACTTAATCTGACAAAAAAATAACTTTGGCTACGCAAACGTCATGCACTTCACAAAAATGGTTAGCCAAGTAAAAGTATTTATAGAAACAGGTCACTCTTTTAGTTCTCAACACTACAAAGCCATCGTCGCGTCCGTTGTCCGGTAAAGCTCGTCGCGCATCACGCGTGTGCGTCGAGACGAGGATGGGGGTGGGGGGGAAAACTCTGTCCAATAATTTGGACTACAGTAACTACTACGGTGTTTCCCATACATTGCTTTATTTCTGGCGGACCGCCACAATATTTTAAAACTGAACGCCACAAATAGATTTTCCTTTGACTTCGCTGAATTAACATGAGCACTGCACGTTTAAAAATAAAAAAACTTTTTTTTATGTCATTTTAATTTCATCTTTCATCTAATGCATATATATATATAATTAACTTTGCATAAGTAAATTTATGGTGAAGTAATTTCGCGGGTTTATTTGTCTGGTCCCCTCCATCATCAGATAATAATGGCACATATGTGCTAAGTTACCGAGTTTAACGCAGACTTGTATTGGGTAAAGTCAAACACTTCTGAGGAATGAAAATACGTACCTTGAGTTCATAACGAATATATATTATTGAGCTCAGGAGGAAACCGTAATATGAACGTAGAAATAGCAGTCGCGCTTTAACACAGCACACATCTTTGAACGCCTGATGAAGCACGACAACCTCCACATTAAACTGTAGCGTACACATCTTTTATAAAATGCTCTAGTGCAAAAGACAACTTTTTCGTCATGTTTTTCTGTTCCAGCATGTCTGTCTTTTTTCAAAGGTGTTAACTTACTGACAATGCTGCTTAGTGCCCTCCGTCATTTCCCAATAAATCGCAAACAAACTTCGATTAGATGTTGCAGCACAACACATTTTAAAGGTTATTGTTTTCAAACTAGCGAGCTAATAACTGTGAACATCTCAAAATAAAAATTTTACTTACAGATAGATCAGTGTCCGCCAACATCTTGATTCTTCTCAAGCCATCCAGAGCGAAAAGAGCGCGAGAACGGAGGCTGCTGCAATTTAAAATTACGAGGCATGACGTGATTGGGCGAAGAAAAAAAAACAACCGTTAATCATTTAAGTTTGATGTAGTCACATGGATTTATACTAATTTTATTTATGATTTTTTTATTTGTTTTAGGGATTTTGCATGTGCTATTTATATAAAACGTGATGTCTTTTTTATTTCACAAATGCTTACAAAAATATCCTGCAGGAATTCCTGAAGGAATGCTGCTTTCTGTGCAGGGATCATGCAGGAATCCTGCAGGACAGAACTAAATTCCTTCAGGACAGAGACATTCCTACAGGAGTCCTGCAGGATTGTCCACACATTTGTCCTGCAGGACCGCCCCACTACATACAGGAATTTTGAATTCCTGTAGGATTAAATATATATCTGTAGGAAAATTTAGATTTTTTTAAGCCTTGTGCAGGAACCATCTTGCTCATTCCTGCAGGACTCATATTAAACAGGCCACTATTCCTGCAGGATAAACTTACTGTCTGTTTATATTTTATTTTAGTCTACAGTGTTTAAAACATGGACACAAGTACTTACCTGCAATTATATAATTTACTAACAAAATTTTTTATAACATTTTCAGAATAAAAATCATTTGGATTGGTGCTCTGTTCTTGAGGATCTTCTTACGATCTTGTATTGCCTTATTGTATATGTGTTTCTTGCAATAAAAAAAAAAATTAAAAAAAAAAGAGGTGAGGTGAGCTAATCATAGACTGAAGACCCAGGTAAACAATTAATCTTTTCTGTTTCTTATTGCAGTTTTGTATTGTTTGTAGTGTGATCAACGTTTGCGTTAGTAGACGTGTTAGGGAAGTAACACGTAACATTTTAATTGTATTTTGCTAAAATGAACGAAATTAACGAAATGACTCGAAAAAAGATTCGTTCATTTTGCTGAACGAGACTCAAAGGTCCGAGTCGGTAAAATGATCCGAACTTCCCATCACTACTTTATTTGTACTTTCCTTATACGGCGAGTCTGTGTGATTCACAACCGGCTCTTTATAGAGGAGGAACAAACCATCTTACATATTAATTCCTGCTCCCTTAAAACCAAGTCGTTCCTTCTTCAACATCGGCCTGTATTTATGGAAAATTTCATTTTTCAGGATAGACATGTTTGAAGTGTATAATCCACGTGAAGGTTTGGCTGTTTGTGAGTATCGTGTGATAAAGGTTTTCTCGCAGTGGTTTCTCCTCCGGCTGTGTGTGTGAAGCTGGCAGACTAACACTGCTAACAGTGCTCTGGAGAGGGAGAGGGAGAGAGAGAGGAGGAGGCTCAACATGGCGTCCGAGCAGGTCTGGTTTCAGTGTGAATTGTAATCTTTTCTCTTTTGCATTGCTTTTCAAGCGATTTTGGGCGTTAAAACGAGTGATGTATAATAACTTTAAAATTGAAACGATGTCTATATGTCTATATATATGGCGATGTATGTGACTTAATAACGATCATCTGCGCGAATTATGTCCTACCGTTAATGGAAAAATTGACTCATTATTGCAGGGTTACAGTTTGCTGTTATACTGAATAGTGATACTTTTGAGCTCTAAAATAAACTTATTCGCTCGTGTTTATTACAGAGGAAAGAGCTGCGTGTCATTTATTTTTAGGCGTACAGACATCTACTGCATTCCTGGAGACGGCAACACTGCTTTCTTTCTTAGCCGTCACACTGTAATAGCATGAATGTGTTTATTATTAATTAATTCTAAAAGAAGATGCATTTGCTGAAAAAAAGTGAGAAATTGTTGTGATATGCTGAGATATATGTTATTTTTTGTAGACTCCTTTGTACCCTATAACTCCCTTGAATTTGATAATCGTTTGTCACTATCTAGTGCTCTATCCAAAATATACTAAATACTCCAAAAGATAAGATTATTAAGTACTGAGGATATAAAGTATTATTGGTCCCAAAAGTATTACAGCATTTAAGACATGCTTAACACTAACACTGAGTTACGTAATTAAATATAAAATATTAAAATGTAATGAAATATAAAACTTTAATGATATTTATTTTAAGCATAATAATCACAAATAGATTTGTTAGAAATTAAATGATAAAAAAATGATAAAATGTTATTATATAAAAGAAATGTGTTGTTTAAAATAAAATTTAAAAGTATTTGACATTTTGTGGTTGTCAATTATTAGTGAACATGTTAAAATTATCTACACCGTTGGTTATTATGCCGTTACACCTCTGTGAACTTGAGGATAACTGAGTTCATGTATCTACTAAAAATGATACTTTTGAGCTCTAAAATAAACTTATTCGCTCGTGTTTATTATAGAGGAAAGAGCTGCGTGTCATTTATTTTTAGACATACAGACATCTACTGCATTCCTGGAGACGGCAACACTGCTTTCTTTCTTAGCCGTCACACTGTAATAGCATGAATGTGTTTATTATTAATTAATTCTAAAAGAAGATGCATTTGCTGAAAAAAAGTGAGAAATTGTTGTGATATGCTGAGATATATGTTATTTTTTGTAGACTCCTTTGTACCCTATAACTCCCTTGAATTTGATAATCGTTTGTCACTATCTAGTGCTCTATCCAAAATATACTAAATACTCCAAAAGATAAGATTATTAAGTACTGAGGATATAAAGTATTATTGGTCCCAAAAGTATTACAGCATTTAAGACATGCTTAACACTAACACTGAGTTACGTAATTAAATATAAAATATTAAAATGTAATGAAATATAAAACTTTAATGATATTTATTTTAAGCATAATAATCACAAATAGATTTGTTAGAAATTAAATGATAAAAAAATGATAAAATGTTATTATATAAAAGAAATGTGTTGTTTAAAATAAAATTTAAAAGTATTTGACATTTTGTGGTTGTCAATTATTAGTGAACATGTTAAAATTATCTACACCGTTGGTTATTATGACGTTACACCTCTGTGAACTTGAGGATAACTGAGTTCATGTATCTACTAAAAATTAACCTTGAAAACAGTTGGTTGAAAGTAATTGGAAAAATACTAATTTAAAGTGTGGCTCAAGTACTTTTGGGCTACCATAATAATACATACTGGCATAAATGATATTTTACACCCAAACTCAGCACTGCAGCCTAGAAAATATCTTAATTGCAAATCGTTTAAGTAAAGCTGAGTAATGCTATATTTGAAGGGGTTCTTGTATGGTAAACCACTGGTGGCAGTAATGGAATGTCTAGTAAAACAGACAATAGTTGTACCATCTAATGTACCCTCTTTTTTCCTTATATCCACAGGAATTCCCAAATGTGCCGGTGAAGAAGTCCATGAGGGAGAAGGCTATTGAGCGTAGATCAGTTAATAAAGAGCACAACAGTAATTTTAAGGCTGGATATATTCCGATTGAGGAGGAGAGACTCCACAAAACAGGACTGAGGGGTCGCAAGGGCATCATTGCCATTGGCATTATCATCCTACTTTTTCTGCTTGCGCTCATCAACCTCATTGTGAGTTTATCGGTTCTTTGTTGTGTCTGTGATATTAATATGATAGGATATACTCAAAAATTAGCATCAAATAATTTTGGATGCATTAAATTGATCAAAAGTGAAAACAAAAACATAATATCACAAAAGATTTATATTTCAAATAAATGTTGTTTGTTGACCTTTCAATTCATCAGAAAATTATGAAAAAAAAAATCAGGTTTTCCACAAAAATATTAAGCAGCACAACTGTTTTCAAGATTGATAATAATAAATAAGATAAATAAAGGTAATAATTAGAAATTTTCAGATCACTTGAGTTACATCTCTACTGCTCACTGAATACAGAGACAGTTATACATTATCTGTGTTTTATAGATAACGCTGGTGATATGGACAGTGATACGGATAGGTCCTGGAGGTTGTGAAAGTATGGAGTTTCACGAGAGTGGACTGCTACGCTTCAAACAGAAGGCTGATATGGGCGTGGTCCACCCACTACACAAGAGCACAGTGGGCGGCAGGAAGGACCAGGACCTTGTCATTACTGGCAACAATAACCCAGTCAGTCAGCATAGTATCTGACTTTCTTTCAACAAGTCTGTATGCTCTGAGTGTTGACATGAGAAAGTGTATTGATTTAGGTGTTCTCTGTGTGAGTTACAGGTGGTGTTCCAGCAGGGCAACACCAAGCTGAGCGTAGAGGAAGAAAAGACGTCTATAGTCAGCGATTTAGGAATCTCCTTTACTGACCCCCGCACTCAAACGACTTTCTTCAGCACTGACTTTGACAACCATGAGTTCCACCTGCCCAAAGATGTCAAGGTTCTCAACGTGAAGAAAGCCTCTACTGAGAGAGTAAGCAAATGTACTCATAGTCCTGACTCATGGACTTATGAAACCTGAATAACTGAGTACAAATTGAAACAGTAGTGCCTAATCACATGGCATACATCACTTATACGTCAGAACAAATCATATGAAAAGTATTTTGGTATGAGATTTATGATCGTCTTAATCTAGGTCTTTTGATTAGTCACACATGAGTTGTGTTTGTATAGTGACTCAGTGCCATCCTTTGCAGATAACAAGCAATGCATCATCTGACCTCACTATCAAAGGAGATGGTAAGGCCATTATCCGTGGCAACGAGGGAGTTTACATCATGGGCAAAACCGTGGAGTTCAGCATGGGTGGGGACATTGAGCTAAAAGCGGTAAGTAGTTAAGGAGTTAAAAAGTTTTTCTTAATTTTTTAGTTGCCAAAAAAATAAATAAATACTATAATAAGATCATCATCCATTAAGATATCAGTCATTACTCCAGTCTTCAGTGTCACATGATCCTTCAGAAATCATTTTTATATGCTGATTTAGTGCTAGAATTTAGTGCAAGAATCATTTCTAATTACTATCAATGCTGAAAACAGTTGCACTGCTTGCTGACCCCAAACTTTTGAATGGTAGTGTATATATAAATGTAAACATATAATTACGAGTGTATGAATGTTTTTTTTTCTATTTTCTGTGCAGGAAAACAGCATTATTCTAAATGGCTCAGTGATGTTCAGTCCTTCACGTATACCAAACTCCTCTTTAGGGGGAGACCTGTACTTCAATGAGGGGCTGGAGAGGTATAAACTTTGCATGTGTGCAGACGGCACACTATTCAGAGTGCAGGTCAAATACTCCAACATGGGCTGCCAAACATCCGACAATCCGTGTGGAGCAGGACACTAATGAAAGAGAAAGGAAAACCACTGGAAAACACATACACATGCTTATTAATGCCTTCTTATGAACATTTAGTGTGAACTGCCAAAAGTTACAAAGATGGTAATTTTTTTTTCTTCCTAAAAACTGGACAATAATTATTAGTGTATACACACCCAATACACAAAAAACACACTATCCGGCCTAACACTCCCAACCCAATAGGACAGTTTCTTCTACACTCCCACTCAGCTTTATTAGAGGTCTAAGAACACACACACACACATACCTCTATGATGATGATGGCTCCCTTATAACCATAAATCCGACCCAGCACAAACAGTACCGTTTTCTTTTATGGCCGAGAGCTCCCTGTGCATTTTCATTAGCTTACCTCAGTGTTTTACAGCCTTTAAGCTGCCTACTTTCAGTCTTCACTGCATGTGCTTTATATATTGTATCGTAGCAAAGTAATTGAGTCCAGTGATTTTCTGAGCAGTATTATTACGCTCTTTTACTATCCCCTCCTGTCATTAATAACTATCATATTGGCACATAAAAAGAGGGGTGTTGTTTGACTGATACAAGTGTTAAAATAGTATGTGTCATAAACCTTCTGCATTGTTCTACATGGCCAATGGGGCTTTAGAAGACTTTTAAGAGGTGATTTAAAGTGGCCAATTTTATTAAACAGCTCAGATGTCATTAAGATTTTTTCAGGGTTGGTTTTTGTATCACAAATGTTTACTTGGTCGTGATTTGAGCCTTTTGCTTTTCATTTCATTTGTAATAGTCATCACTGATGCAGAATCAGCACAGTCAAGTGGCTTTAAACCACATTTTAAATAAGCAACACTGTAAGTCTGATCCTGAAACAGTGGGTGGCGATGTATCACTTCTGGAACATATTTTCAAGGCCTGTATTATATTGCCCAATCGCCTTCTCATGATATCTTTTGATAAGATAAAAAAAGGAAACTTCTATGATATATAATTGAGTTACCTGTGTGATATTTTGTGCAATATAACCTTCTTGGCCTGGTTTGTCTGGGTATGTGTGTGGTATTTATTGTTGTTTCTAAACAGTATTATTGTGATGTCCAAACTAAAAATCTTCTGTTCTGAGACTGTCAGATGGGACTTTCTTTTCAACCCTATAATGGATTACTCTGTTAACCTGAAACCATCTGATCATCTATGTTTTTAGATCTTCTATGGTTTTAGGTCTTTTCAACATTGTCAGAAGGGAAGTCACAAATATTTTGAATGAAGAGGAAAATAAATGCTTTCATATTGCAGTGTTTTTGTTAATAAATGCAAATGCGGTTTTGATTGAAAAAAACTGTATTATGATTGTTGGGACTATTAGATGCATAAACATGATCCATCTCAACAATAACAAATATTAGAGTTGCTAACTATATCATGTGGCAACTGAGTTAATATATTAATTTACTTGTCAATTATTAATTTTGGTCAATGATCTAGTGGCAATTCACTAATATATCACTGCATACGTATGTAAAAACTTAATTCTTATTTATTCAACATTAAATATGATTTATTTATTTTTTATCCTTAAAATGCTTGGGAGGGAACAAACCCCGAGTAAGACATTAACTCAGGCAAGTGAGTGATTGTAGTCTGATTGTTCTTTGTGTGTGTGTGTGTGTGTGTGTGTGCGTGTGTGGTGCCATAATGCTATTCAGACTTTGATCTTAGGGAAGTTGGAGTTAAAGTCAAAGAATTCCTCAGTTGGTCTCAGTGTTTTGTTGGTAATTGTCCAGAACTACAGACAGAAGTGTGCCAGAGCCGAGTGGAGAACTGCTACCCTAAAAGGTTAGTTTTAAACAAATCTACTATTTTTCCCTTGAGCTTAGGCAAGTAAAGGACTGATGTTTAATAATTTAGAGTCTCTTCAACTGTATATATGTGTGTGTGCATATGATTGATTTTATTGGTTTTGTGGTGCAGCGATGGATTTCATGAGGGAAAATTTCTCCGCGTTCATTCTAACAGCTCAGTAAAAAAAAAAAAAAGAATTAAAAAATGCATGTTTTCTCTCTGTATTGTACCATACAAATGCGAGTAAGTACGGAACCCCGCACATGGCATACAGGAAAAAATAGTAGGCTAAATCGTGTGTACGATTTACTATTTCGTTCCCTCGATTTATACATTTGTTCCCTCGATTTGCTAAATCGTGCACACGATTTATAAATCGAGAGAACAAATTAGTAAATTGTGCACACGTTTTGTACATCGAGGGAACGAATTAGTAAATCGTACGCACAATTTATTTATTTTTTCTTGCATGTCATGTGGGGCTCCGTAAGTATGCCATATTCTGTCATTAATTTTTCACTTCTCCAATCTGTTATTTGTCGTTTATATCATTCAGGGCTGACAATAATGTCAGCATCCAGCTCAGTGCTTGGTGTGGCACTGTTGCTCCTCCACCTCTGGGGGACACATTCTTTCCCCACCTCTGCCTGTCCTGTCCCCTGCCTGTGTCAGCACGGTCCTCTCCTGAACTGCTCTTCTTTGGGTTTGACTGAGATTCCCACACGCATCCCAGCAACTGCGGTTTCCTTGAACATATCCAATAATGCCCTGCGTTCTCTGGCTCCTCTCAGCTTTGGTCATGTAAAATTGAAAGGGCTTCTGCACCTTTGGGTAGGAAGTAATGCTCTGGAGAGCCTGTCTCTGATTTTGAAGGACCAGTCACGCACTAGGACCCTGTCAAGTGGAGAACAGGAATGCACCTCCTGGGCACCTGACCTTCAGTTGCTGTCTGCTGAAAGAAACCATCTAAAACATCTACCCAAAGGTATGTGCCGCAAGAGTATGTATGTGATACACTTTACTTTACAGCATTAGTAATTTATTCAACACTCTTACTGTAAAAAATAGTATCTCTGTCCTTCCTTTGTCCTGAGAAACATATTCAAATTAAAAAGGAAATCGGGGCAACTTTATTTCTGTCACATTTCTATAATGGTGACATTCACACCCTTACTATTAATTAATAGATAGATAGATATACAGACAGACAGACAGATAGATAGATGAGTAAATTTGATCTCCAACTACTAAAAACGATTAATTTTTTTAAATAGAATCTTTTGTAATCTAATTTATTATGCAAAATCTGTAAAATTCATAAAACCCACACACATCCTCCACCCTGTGGTAAATGACTGTATAATCAGTGGAACTTTGCTCTGTTGCGATTGCACATTCTTCCTGTTAAATTCCATTTAAACCAGTCACAGGATCCTCCCTCAGCATGAGGTGAAAAGAAATCACCTGTGATCTGTCACAAGGGTTAGGCGCTGGCATTCCTGTGCCTCATAACGGGCTGTAAAAGGGTAATAATGGTCTAAACACATTCCAGAGAGTGAATTTCATTATGGCCTTGTATTTTGACCATCCTTCACATAAACGCTAAGATTGAGTTCTAGTGTGTTCAAAGGTGTCTTATATTTATTTGTGATCTGTCACAAGGGTTAGGCGCTGGCATTCCTGTGCCTCATAACGGGCTGTAAAAGGGTAATAATGGTCTAAACACATTCCAGAGAGTGAATTTCATTATGGCCTTGTATTTTGACCATCCTTCACATAAACACTAAGATTGAGTTCTAGTGTGTTCAAAGGTGTCTTATATTTATTTGTGTATTTATTTCTGTCTCTCTCTCTCTCGCTCTCCCTACCGTTAGGTAACTTGTGCATTGTTTTACTTACTTGTCTTTGACATATCCGACCGAACTATAAACTTTCCAATGATGTCTGTGAGAAAGGTATATTCACTCGACAAGCTCGCGCATCTGCGCCGCCGCGCGCTCAATCCACTCAGCGTGCTTTTTTTATCAGCTCGCGCACTTCAGCTATACAGGCGTTAATACTGAATGTTTAACATTATATTCATTGCATACGTATACTTCGTAGTAGACATCCATAACTCCTTTCTGCTGTCTGTTGTCAGTGTTTCTTTGTTTAAATATGGCGCTTATCACATGCTGTGTGGTATCGGCGTTTGGTATCGGGGCATTTTAACGAGTACGAGTACGAGTACAGGAGGCCAGTATCGGTATCGGTGCATCCCTAGTATTTATGCACTATTCTATGACATTTTGTAGTGTAGTGTGTTCACACTGCAAAAGGAAGAGTGCACTTCAAATACCCGGATGACGCACTTAATTAACCAAAAAAACAAAAAAAAAGTGTTGAACACTTCATGCACTCTGCTGTCATAGTTTTCCTGATAGGGGCTATTAAATGCAAATGCTATTAGATGACAAAATAATCTACATAAATAGTGTACATATTGTATAGTACACCATTTGGGACACATCTATAATGTGCCATAGCCAACCTGCTGTAATACAATTTTACAAAAATCTTCCTTGTCAGTTTGAATTGTAATAGAAACACCATTAAAATAGACACCAAAAAGCATTTTGTTGAAATGTTTAGAGAAGCTTAACTGGGGATTTTGTAGAATGTTCATAGTAAGTTGGGGAACAGAAAGCCAATTCAAGCACTTATCATTCTCTGTTAGATTTTTAATATTGTCTCTTCAATTTCATATTCAGTGCTATTCTAATGGGATGGCTAATTCTTTCATTTAATTCTGAAATCCTGTTCCAGGATGTGATTGTCAGTGTTGATAGACAATTTTGGCAGGGTTTCAATGTTTCTGAGTCTGCCTTGAAACTTTTTTTTTTTTTTTTTGAAATCCAAAGGGACTTGTTAACAAAGGTCAAGAATCAGATTTTACATTGTGCTCTTAGCCTTAGCAGATCCCAATCCGGCCAGCCTGTAAGCATTGAATTAGATGGTGGCGCCTCAATGTTTTTCAGCTCTTTGTGATTCAGAGCACAGCCTCAATGCTTCTCTCTGATAAACCCCTGTCCAGCAAACCCCCGTTTCAGCTCAGCAGTTAACACGGTTCTTAAAATAGGCAAGACAGTTCTCCATCTCTTCTCTGACAAACGATATTAGCCAATAAGATGCCAATATTATTCGTTAATAGTGAGAATACTATTACCAACAACTTGACAGTAAAGTCCTGATGATATTCAAGCAGTGTTGCTGCAAGAACCTCCCTGATCTGACCAAGTGGTGATTCATGTGGCACTCCATAACTGCCCTAACTATGCTAGGTTTTGTTACAGCCACAGATATTGGCACAAACAGGTGCTTGTGTTTTATGGGGCTAAGGCAGGCTGTAACAGGTAGAGCTGAGATTTAAATCTGCCAAACACTTGACTTGTATAGGACATCCATGAGCTAGAGAGTCACTGTTCTGCCATCCACAGTTTTTTCTTTGCATTATATTGCTATGGATTTTAACTATTACAACAATATTTGACTATTATAAGTCAAAACAACTGCAAAATGTCTGACTTTGCTATCTAATGATAAAAATGCAACGCCTGTCAGTGACTCAAAGAATGCATTGATATTTAACTAGAAAGTTTGTTGTTAATCATTGCATTATGTTTACCTTTTTATATTATGAATATACATTTTGCTTTCAGGGCTAGGCTGCATGAAGTCTCTACAGTTTCTTCAGCTGTCTTATAACCAGATATCTAAGATAGGTCTTACCGACCTGGACAACTGCATTGATTTGAAAGAGCTACATCTCCAGCATAACAGCATCATAAGCATTCACCCACATGCTTTTATAGACCTTAAACAGCTGCAGGTAACATCTCGTAACTATTCAGCTTCTTTGAGTATCACGATAATACCAGTCACATAATATTGTTCTCTTATCCTAAAGGGAAATAATGTTAAGAACAGTTTTACATATTTAGGACTGTGCTCCCCCTAGTGGCATATAACAATTAGGTTTTTTTTTCTTCTATTAACTGTCTTTTGACAGAATCTGTAGTTATTGCATAAACCAACTTATCTAGCACAGCGTGCATTAAATTCAGAGCACAGCCTCAATGCTTCTCTCTGATAAACCCCTGTCCAGCAAACCCCCGTTTCAGCTCAGCAGTTAACACGGTTCTTAAAATAGGCAAGACAGTTCTCCATCTCTTCTCTGACAAACGATATTAGCCAATAAGATGCCAATATTATTCGTTAATAGTGAGAATACTATTACCAACAACTTGACAGTAAAGTCCTGATGATATTCAAGCAGTGTTGCTGCAAGAACCTCCCTGATCTGACCAAGTGGTGATTCATGTGGCACTCCATAACTGCCCTAACTATGCTAGGTTTTGTTACAGCCACAGATATTGGCACAAACAGGTGCTTGTGTTTTATGGGGCTAAGGCAGGCTGTAACAGGTAGAGCTGAGATTTAAATCTGCCAAACACTTGACTTGTATAGGACATCCATGAGCTAGAGAGTCACTGTTCTGCCATCCACAGTTTTTTCTTTGCATTATATTGCTATGGATTTTAACTATTACAACAATATTTGACTATTATAAGTCAAAACAACTGCAAAATGTCTGACTTTGCTATCTAATGATAAAAATGCAACGCCTGTCAGTGACTCAAAGAATGCATTGATATTTAACTAGAAAGTTTGTTGTTAATCATTGCATTATGTTTACCTTTTTATATTATGAATATACATTTTGCTTTCAGGGCTAGGCTGCATGAAGTCTCTACAGTTTCTTCAGCTGTCTTATAACCAGATATCTAAGATAGGTCTTACCGACCTGGACAACTGCATTGATTTGAAAGAGCTACATCTCCAGCATAACAGCATCATAAGCATTCACCCACATGCTTTTATAGACCTTAAACAGCTGCAGGTAACATCTCGTAACTATTCAGCTTCTTTGAGTATCACGATAATACCAGTCACATAATATTGTTCTCTTATCCTAAAGGGAAATAATGTTAAGAACAGTTTTACATATTTAGGACTGTGCTCCCCCTTTTTTTCTTCTATTAACTGTCTTTTGACAGAATCTGTAGTTATTGCATAAACCAACTTATCTAGCACAGCGTGCATTAAAATGAGGAAAACATTTTGATTGACTTATTCCATCCAGGTCCTTGATCTGAGCTATAACATGCTGGTCACCATTCCTGTTCCTGCCTACCAGTCCCTGCGAAAACTCAACACCTTGGTCGATGTCTCCTTCAACAGATGGAAGTGTGACTGCAACTTGCAGACCTTGAGAAGATGGATTAGTTTTGATTCTGAAATGGGTGATAGTTCCTGGCAAGTGGTATGTGCCTCTCCACCACATCATGGTGGAAAAGATCTGCTTCACCTGAAGGATTTGGAGCTTACTTGTCCAACACATAAATACAGCACATCTGGTCGCTATTATAACATGATTGTGGACGAGGGGATGCAAATATCAATTCCTTGCAGCAATGACAGTCAAGGTGCTACTTCTGCTTACTTGTCTGTATCAGAAGTTATAAAACCACAGTCTAATGGCACTTTTCCACTGCATGGTACGGCACGGTACACGTTTGGGGGGGGGTTTCCACTGGGTACAGTACCTGGTACTTTTTTTAGTACCACCTCGGTTGAGGTTCCAAGTGAACCGTACCGTTACCAAAACGTGACGTGTAAACTCTGCTGATCACTGATTGGCCGGAGAGAATCGTCACTACCTGAACTTGTGACACAAACACAACAGAACCGCTAGATTTAAATCAGCACAGCCAGCGAAGGACCGAACGCAGCTGTTTTGAACGGCACAGCCAGCAAAGGATCGAACGCAACTGTTTCGAACGAGCGCACCTTTTTTAACAACCAAAAATGGCTGTTTCGTTGTCTGTTGAGGAAGTACAGACGTACCTCTCGTTGATAGTAGAGGAGCGGATCCAGCGAGAGCTTGATGGGGCGACGCGGAATGAAAAAGGTTTTCAGGAGTCGCGGCAGTAGAGGCGGCGCAACTATAACGACATGTGAATAATCCCGCCCACTCTAAACCGAGCCAAGCCGTGCCGTGCCATACTGAGCCATGCCAAGCCGAGTTGTACCACGCAGTGGAAAAGCGCCATAATATACTGAAACAAGACATATTATTCAAAAATTTTATTCATAACTTTCTTTTTTGCAGTTATATATGTAACTCCTAAAGTATTGCACATTTAGTGATGAAATTCCCTGTTATTTTTATTCTAGATATCATGCAGGTTCATTGGTGGACTCCACATGGCCAAGTCACAGATAACCAACCAAAACTTCTAATTAAGGACATCACAGAGCAGCATGCAGGACTTTATATATGCATTTCAGGTTTTCAAGGGGAGCACATATCAGTATTTGATCTACATGTCTATAAAAAAGGCAGTGGCTCAAGACCACGTAGGGAAGCAGCAACCATCTTGGATGAGCAAGAAAATACAAACACATCAAGGAATGATCCTGTTGTACGGGAAAGGAGCCAGTCAGAATTTGTCCTTGCCGTCTGCCTCTCTGTCATCATTACATTTATTGTAGCCTTTATCCTTGGTGTTCTTTTGAGACCACTCTTAGAAAAATTATGGAGAAGAATACAATCCAAAAGACAATCTACACCACCACCAACAACAACCTCCTCCACTGGGCCCCAGCCATATGTGAATGAAGGGTACTGTGATGTAGAAGACCAAGAACAAGAAGTGAGAGTGGGTTCAACGGTTACATTTGGTGGAAACACAGAAGTGGAAGATCAAGTGCCTTACTACGTTACTGTAGAGAATGATAAAGCAGATGGCTCCTCTGAGAGTAACACAGAAGTTGAGGCTCTTTATGAGAGTATTGAAAGAAAGAAATCCTCAATAACTGGTGGGAAGCAGCAGGCCCTTGAGATGGAGGATCACAGAGGAAGAGCAGACAGCAGTAGTAGCAGCTCTCTACAGGAAGGGGAAGTGAATGCTTTAGTCATAAATGGTAAGAAATGGCCACCTACCTCAACCGAAGACATGGCAAAATCCATGGAATTTGAGTCAATTCCAGATGCAAATGATATCACCCAGTTAAAGAGAAGGGGCAGTTCTTCAACATCATCTCAGTCAAGTCAGGAAGGTAACTTCTCAAGAGAAACTGAAGAAAGTGTTGACCCTCCTGCTGTCACTATACCGACAAACAAAAACACAATGGGTAGAATTCCAGGATTTAGTACCGAGCCGTTTTCAGAATGGTCAACCAGACTGACAGAACAGAATGTTGATAATTTGGACCCAGGGTTGTGGAATGACAGTGGAGAAAGCTTTTCTTTCACTGATGGCTCTGAAAGGTCAAGTATCCGGGATCTCTCCAGCTCTGCTTTAGGACACCCACTGAAGGATGATGACACATGGAGGCAAAGCAAAGTAGAATCACCTTCAGAAAAAATAAACATCGATTCAGAGCTTCTTGTTTTTGACAAACCTTTTGGTAAAGAACTTCCTGTTGATGATGTAAAGCAGTTCGAGCTCTCTGACATAGGAAGCTCCTCTAATTCAAGTGAAAGTGGTGAAAGTGTAGGTGGACCAAACAATTATGTTGTAAACCCAGAGTTAATGGATGAATCAGACACAGAGAACTATGCAAACCTGGTCACTTTAAATAGATTTGGCACTCTTGAAGATGTCACTTTAAATGAAAGAATGCCTAGTGCTGGCATTCTTATAAGACAAGAGACTGTCACTCTGGAGCTTTCAGACATACATCTGACATTTACTCATGGAGACAGTGTTGATGAGAGTATGCATATTTATGACTCCCTGAGAAAGAGTGAAGATGTGAACATATCAGACAATATGTTTGGGATATGTGTAGATGTGGGTCTTGATACAGTGCCAAAGGTTAAAAGATATGTTGAATTTAAACAGTTCAAACCTCATTCTGGACCTCCAACTCTGCCATCATTTTCTACTTCCTCAACAAAGAAGAACAACACCTTATCAGATATGGAGGTGAAATCTGAAGCTAACATTGACGCATTCTCTGGAGACAACAGATGCTTAACACAAATAGAGGTATCTCCTGATAGAATTCAAAAAGTGAAGAGATACATTCACTTCAAACATCCTGAACCTCATTCCCCAACTCTGCCATCATCACCCTCCTTCACCAAAACAGATAAGCTAGAAGCAAAAAGTTATAGCTCATCTTCAGATGATGATGCTCAGCGGACAACTAAACGTGACAATTTAGATGTATCTTCTTATGAAGTTTCAAAAGTAAAAAGATACATTTCATTTAAACAGCTTGAATCTTCCTCCCCAACTCTGTCAGTATCCAGACCTTCAACTAAAATTGAGACCACAACTGAGGAAGCAATAAAATCTTTGCAGCCAAGCACCACACCTAAAGATTCAAGTCAAAATGTGAAGAAATATGTGTATTTTAAGCAGTATAAACACCATTCCTCATCTCTGCCATCATCACCTACCTCTACCAGGAAAGGTTTATCAGGAAAAAAGACTAAACGCAAAAAACAACATGATCAATCATATTATGGAAGTCATGATAGCCTGCCACTATACCATGTCCATCCTGTCTATAGGTCAAGTATAAACAGACTGAATAGAGGCTATGATACTGATAGATCATCTTCCAGTGAAGAAGAAGATCAATTTTTGGAGTACCCTTCAAAATTAGAGATTACAATAGCACCTGGGATAAACAGAGGATCCATCACACCAGATAAAAACACAGACAAAGTCCTCAACATTGACTTTGATAACTCCTCCAGCAGCACAGATGTATTTGACAAGAAACATTCTAAAGGTCTAATGAGATTAAGAGCATTAAGTGCACGACTGTTCAACAGACACGAAAATGAAACAGATGAGGGGAATCTTC